GGGTTTAGGGTTTTAGGGTTCCTTTGAAGTGGTTATGTAGGGGTTTTCTAGGGAGTATATAGGGTTCCTTTTGAAGGGGTTATAGAGGGCTTCTAGGGCGTTATCTAGGGTTTAGGATGGGGGGGGGTTTGGTGGAGGTTTTGCGATTTAGGGTTTATGGTTTTGGGGTTTGGGTTTAAGGTGGTTTAGGGTTGGAATTTTAATGGTTATAACCCCAACAATGGAGAAAAGAACATGGAAGCAAACAAACGGGGTTGTACAACTACGGCACCTTTTTTGGTGCCCAAAATTTCGGGGCCTGTAACTATGAAGGATCCAAGGACCTGTCTGCTGACAACCTACCATGCGGTGCGCATTCTTGTGCACATTTTTGTCTGTCTGTCTTTACATGTATGTATGCAGATGAGGGTGTTTCTCACAAGAGTTTAGGGGTTTAGAGGTTTAGGGCTTCAGAGGGCTTAGGGTTCTCTAGTCCTCAGGCGGCTGCCTTACTGGAAGGTTCATGGGATTTAGTTAGAAATGGGCATGCAGCCCTACTTAGAATTGGGGTAACCTACAAGCGTCCAGTTTGGGGGATATAATCCCAATCATACGTTCTCAAGTTACCTTTACCCTGAGGTGGGGAGGAATTCAATGCTTGTTGTGGGCAATCTGACATGATATTACTCCAAATGAGACATCCAACTTTTCAGCGACTTGTGGAAAGATGTGAAATTAATTTCATTGAGCTGCAGGGGTTGACAGGGGTCTGTAGGTCTGGGGGTACATGCATGCACATGTTCGTGTGTTTTTCTCACAAGTACATGACATATGATATGTATATACATACACATGTAAAGATGCCCCAACACTCCTACTGTACTAGGGAAGCGATGACAAAAGTCTTCTTGCGATTAGGGTTACAGACAGGGTGCGCAATGATCTCATACGGAATGCGCTACACCAGGGTTTAGGGCTTCGCATTCCCCATGCCAGCGCCCTCAACCCCAAAGCCCTCCTCCGCCCCAAAAAAGCCTGAACACCCCCTTCTCGTCAACGCTAAACCCTCAACTTCAAAATCCTAAACTCTAATCCCAAAACACTAATCTTCAAAACTCAAATCCTACCCAAAGCCCCCCCCAAAGCTGTAGGAATGGTGGCGATTGCAGCAGCCTTCAAGACGAGCTACAAGGTCTCTGTGGTGGCACCAAAAGAACTTTCAAAGCGGAAGGGCTTCGAGGATAAGGTCTAGCGATGTAGGGCGATTCAGCGTTTCGAGTACAATGCCTAGGGATTTTGCTAGGTTTAAAGATTTCGGGTTTAGTGTGTATTGTCTCTGGCTTATGGCTGGAGGTGGAGGTGTTGTAAGGTTTGTAGATTGAGTGCTTGTCTTCTTGATGATATGGATGATATGGAGTGCAATCCTTTCTTAATGCTTATATCATCCTTATTTACATCGCCGTTTTGTAATCCCTATGTAGCCCTATGCGCAGACTTTTGAAGCTTGTTCTATAAATCTATAGAATTGTAAACGCTATCGCGCACCCGCCTGGGCTGTTGGGGTACACAAACACTCCTCGCTGACCCCATCTGGGATGGGGGGTGGTGGATGAAAGCGGCGCCTGGGCCGCGATGGTCCATCCCCAAAACCCCAAACCTTGAGCCCTAAACTCCAAACCCCTTAGCCCAAAACCGTAAGCCCCCAAACCCAAACCCAAAACCCCTAACCCACAACTCTAAGACCCAAAGCCAAGAGCCTTAGAAACGTCCTGTAAAGCCATCCCCTTCATCACAGAATCCTTAAAACCCCTCTACATATATAGAAAACGATATATAGAAAGCTTTACACAGTCCCTATATGACTAGATGGTTCTCAAATATCCGTATACACTGCCATATATTCCAGTATACACCCCCAAACCTAAATAACCCCTGAAGCCCCCTTTCAAGGTAAGCCCCCAAAGGTACCCAGAGGGTACCCAAACCCTAAACCCTACGCCCTAAACCCTAAGCCCTAACCCCCAAGCTCTAAACCCTTATACCCTCAGCCCTGGACCCTTATAGTACCCTAAACCTTAAACCTTATACCCTTATACCCTAAACCCTAAGCCCTACCGTTTGGGTACCCCAGGTGTGCAGTGGATCCAGGGCTCCGCCATGGCCTTCGCGGCCCTATGCAGCGACCCCCCGCTCCTACAAAGTGGGGTTAAGGTGGGGATTTTTTGTGGTTTTGGGGTTCAGGGTTTAGGGTTCAGGGTTCAGGGTTCAGGGCTTAGGATTCAGGGCTTAGGGTTCAGGGTTTAGGGTTTAAATTGGTCAGTGTATATATATATATATGGTGTCCAATTTGGGGGGACCTTAACCGTTTCATCAGGAATATACAGGGAGTATAAAGGATTACATGGGAATGTAGAGGGAATCTCTCTGCATATATATATATAACCTGGAGTATGGAATATGTTGATAGGTACATATAGGAAGAGATAGGGAATATGTAGGGAGTATGAAGGCTCTGGAGGCTCTGAAGCCCTTCGAGACGCTGATAGGCTCCTGGCTCCGTTATCAGAAGGAGGAGTTCGAGGCCAGGGTTGTCTTACGTTTGCTGGGAGACTCTTAACGTGCTTATATTGAAGGCGGGCCAAGCTGAGCCGGAAACCAGGAGGCGAAAGGAAGCACGCCGGGAGGAAGGGCAGCAAAAGGCTTGCAAAGAAAGAATGGAAGGAAGAACCCGCCAAAGCCCGCGCAGCCCTGGAAGCCCGCCGGAAACAGAAGCAGGGCGAAAACAAGAAAAAACAGAGGGGCGGTCGGCCCTAAAAAGGGTTCGAGGCCGCTTGGAAGGCCTCCGAAAGCACGAGGGAGACGAAAGCCACTAACCTGATACGTGATTGACTGGGCAGGCCAAAAAAGCGGCGGAGGCGAAGCTGACTGACCTCCGAAAGGCTGAGGCCAAGCGGAAGGCCAAATGGCGTGCCAACAAAAAGATCAAGGCCGCCGAGGCCAAGGCAAAGGCCAAGGCGCGATGCACTGTGCTGTCATAAGTGCCAAGCAGCAAGGGGTGCCTTGTAGGAACGAGAAGTTCTCCGCAGGGAGATGGAGGCCTTGGCCAAGCGGCCCATCTTGGATGAGGCAGCGTGAGCGACAGCATGCGCGACTGCGTGCAGTCAGTCCTGTCGGTTTGAGGAACTGGACTACGCTCTGGCGGTCCAGGAGCAGGCTCCACAGGCAGTAAAACAAGGTAGACCGACGTCTGAAACTCTGTCAGGCCGGCTTTGACTCACTCAGGCACGTGTGACGCGCCTCCTCAGACTCACTGCTGCCAAGCTCATGGGTTGACTGCGTATTAATAACAAAGAATATCATCGTATCACACACACGGGTTCATCTTACATATTAGATAAGAAATTTCCTGATGAAGGCCACAAAGGGTGGGTACCTGGGGGTGGGGTAGCATATATATATATATATGGGTGGTTGTCAAAATTATGGTCCCTTTTTGGATCCCTATTATAATACGGCACCTAACATGTAGGCTACCCAAAAAGGGACCATATTGTTGACAACCACCCATATATGGGGAACATATACATATATATGTACATACATATGGAGTATATAGGGAACATAGAGGCCGATATGGGGATATACCGGAAATATGCATATATATATATACATTGTTATATATACGTATACATATATATAGTGGAGTATGGAATATAATGGAAAGTATAGGTACGTGTAGGAACATATATAGGGAGTATGCAGGAATATATAGGAATATATGGGGGCTATATATGTGCATACATATGGAGTACTCAGGGAGTTTACAGGGCCTTCTAGGAATATATATATATATAGAGGAATTTTGAGGCGTGTATAGGAGTCTTCAGGGAATATTTAGGAAAATATAGAGACATAGAGGAAGACAGGGAATATAGAGGGAATATATAGGAATATGTAGGAGATATGAGATATTCATGAAAATATAGGAATGTATAGGGATCTGAAATCGTTCTGGGGGCACAGGAGCCTAGTAGCACTCCCCTTCACCTAACATTAAATCCTCACACTATTAGACTGGGATGCACGGTTTAGTGGTTGAAGTCGTAAGGGTTAAGGGTTTAGGGCTCGAAAAAGGCGGCCCCCAGGGCATGAAGGGATCTATAGAGATTATTTGGAGATTCTAAGGGTTCTTACTGGTGATTTTTAGGAAACTTTTTGAGTAATGCCCATATAACCCCTCTGATTCCCTTAAAGAGAGCCCAATAGGGCTAGACGTAAGTTCTGTAGTCGCAAGCTGGATTATTCTTCAGGCAAGGCTTTAATTCACAGGTGGTACGGCTCAGGACTATAGGGTTTATGTACGGGCTTCCGAAAAGTAGGGGTACTAAGGGATGTATGATATATAGGGTTTAGGGTTTAGGGTGTTGGGATCCCCAAATTAAGGGTTCTTTTTGTGGGTACCCATAATACAGGTGATCAATCGTCTGTTTGGGGTCTATATTAAGGTCCTCTTTTTATTGGGAGACTACCATGTAAAGGCTACCAAAAAAACCGGGGTTTAGGTTTTTTTGGGGTTGAAAATCCAGAACATGTGTTTTTAGTGAATAACAGGGTTTGCGGGGTTTTCGCACCACCACGGCAAGCTGAGATCTGCTTGAGCCTTCAAGTCCTAAGCGCAGGGCAAAGCAAAGCGAGCTTACCCGACTTCACCCCAAATTGAGGTTGATACGCCACAAAGTCCTGCAATGGCTGTACTTGGGTTTTGGTCAGGCGGCTTTGGGCGGTTTAGGGGTTATTCGGTGTGGGCTGTTATGGGGCATGCATGGAGGTTTTCATAGGGTTCAACAAAAACCCGGGCCTCAAACCCAAGGTTCTGTGAAGCTTTGTAGGTAGGAATCATGGAGATAATTTACAGGGTTCTTACGTGCTTAAACCAGAAAGACAGAATGTTTAGGTGGGGGTGTTCCAGCATGCTTGAAGTGCGCAAGCAGTTTGAAAGTAAGGGTTGGTAAGCTTTGGGTTTTGAAATTCATTTGCCACGGCTTTATACCAGGTGTTGCTCCATAAATGTCTGCAATGCCTCCTAAACCTATGCAAAGTTGACGTAACTGTCACGTGGCTTTGCAAATATGTATAGCGTGCTTTTCCTTGCAAAGTTATGTAAAGCCAGTGACGCCCCATAACTTTGCCACAAAATCTTCGAAGTACTCAGAAAGCCTCTCCTCAAACCCCAAGCCTCCAAATTCAGATTCTATCCCAAGGTACGCTTTAGAAGCGCAGGGTCTTTCACTGAGACGAATGACCGCATTTGACAGGACATTTCCTTTAAAGGGATCCTTTGCCCCACCTGCCTCCATCCCCCTTTTGAGGGCCCGGAGTCCACTTCAGCCAAAACCCCCGAACTCTAAACCCCAAACCCTGGGTCATTTAGCCCTCCCAGTAGCTGTCCTCAAAGGGGCTGTATTAGGGCCGTTAGAAGTCCTAGTACATACATTTAGGATTATTTAGGTCACAGGTGCTGTGAGGGGAACTGGCTTCACCCGAACTTTTACTAGCAGAAACAGAGGATGGTTCTGTGGTCACTTGGGGCCATCCAGACTTCGGCGGCGATTGCAGTTGCGTCCAGGAGCCGGCGGTTCTTCTAACAAAGCTTGAATGATTGACAATGCTGGTGGGTTTTGTGCATTTGCCGCTGCGCACCGTCGCCTGTGCTGGTTTTCTTTCTGGGCTTCAAAAATGTGTTGGTTGGCTTGGTCCATTTCCTGTGAAGGGCTCTTTCGATGTCGCTTAGGAGTGTTCAACTTCCAGCACGGTCATGATTGAAGAATCTCATTGGAGAAGATGAACCTTCCCCCAAAGTAACATGGAACCCCAAAAAGGGCCCATGAAGACTACTGCCCTAAACCCTACGCCTGTGGCTATATGAATTAATAGTCCAAACTCCTAGTACCCCCTTAATAACCCCTTGGAATAGTCCCCTCTATAATCCCCTATACAACCCCTTGAAGAAGTTCAGACCCTAAACCCTAAACCCCCATAACCCCACTTTAAGGAGTTTAGAAAATAGTTCATATGAGATTCCATGTGAAGATGGGAGGTGTACACAGGTCTTGAGAGGAAGTCTCGCAGGCTGCCCAGCTGACAGATGACAAACGTAGCTTCCAACACGGTTTAGGTCCAGGGGTATAAAGGATTACATAACCGCACTTATTCAGGGGATCTTGTCTATTATATAACACCAAGTTATTTAGGGGATTTAGGGGATTTAGGGTTTCAGGATTTAGGGTTTAGGGATTAGGTTTCAGGGTTTAGGATTTCGAGAATAAAGATAGATCTCAGTGGTTCACAGTAACTTCTGTTGCAGTGTAGAAGGCACGACTTACATCTGCTGGCATTGCTTGAAGTTCGATAGCCCCGAGATGCCAGCACGCACTAAGCCTCGCAGTGCTTTCAAAAGCCATTTAGGATTAAATCAGGGTTTAGGTTTTAGGGTTTAGCCATGGAAGCTCCCAAAAGTCTCAACGACCGCGATTGCGGAGCTAAATGGGTCAGTGCTGGATGCAATTTGCAAACTTGAGTTACAGAAGCCAGTCAGGAAGAGAGAGTGTCCTGCTTGTGAGGGCTGTAGCACTTTTTTTGGTTGTTAGTAGGGAACAAGGGAATATAATATAGGCTCTATATAGGGATTGTTTTTCCTTAGCCCTGCTAACCCCCAATAAAAACATCTCAAGTGCTACTGGAGATCTCGGGATACTCGAAGCGTAGAAGATGATGAAGCCTTTGCAACACTTGGGATGCCTGCGACAGGCAAGAACACAAGCAAGGGAGCAGGAGATAGCTTTGGGGGATCGGAAAATGCCCACCGGCCTACCGCAAAGCTGTCAAACCTGGGAAGCCATGGATTTTTTCTGCTCGGCCACCTTTCAGAGGCTGCCAAAGCGCTGGGGCCGGTGACGCTGAATTCTAGATAGAGTGAGAGGGTCCAAAGATGGTCAGGTATCTGTGACCTGGATGCACATCACAAACACCCGTAAAGCTGTTGTGCACAATCTTCTTCTCTAGCATCTACAAAGCCAAGCTCTGTATGCCAAAAAGTCCTTCGCGAAGCTCAAAAGGTGGGTTCCCCAAATTAGAGGTACGCTTTTTGGGGTGATTTTTGAACGACAACAAAAAGCTACTAGAGCTCCACAATAAGGACTACAGTCTATAGTATTTTGGGTTCTAGATTGGGGTTACCCTGTTTGAGGCAATTACCAAATAAACATGCTTCCTGTCTGCCGTAAAACCCACCCCAATTCCTCAGAAAGGAGCAGCTGAGAGACGTCCAAGGCATTCAGGCCATTGACTTGGGCTTGGGCGCCTAGGGCTTAGGGTTTAGGGGCGTGGGGCTTAGGGATTAGTGGTTGTGGGCCTAGATTAGAGCGGGAGTGTAGAGTCTGCGGGTTTGGCGACTTCGGTTTTTTTGCGCCGATGGACGTTTGGTTTTGGGTTCCGGTCGGGGTTGTCGGGTTTAGTAATACTTTTTGGGTAACCCCAACCCCTGCAACAGTTTCCATTCATTGCCCCTTTTTCGCTATGCGATTCTCCAGTATTATTATCATTAATTAGGGTTAATTACCCAAATCCCTACGCACGATTTATTCCGATATAAGCCCCACGGGCCGGGGGTGTATCCCGACAGAACCCTATTTGGCGGTTTCCATGAATCGCGGGACCCCAATATAGACCCCAAAATACTTTAAACCTTACTATGGAACCCACCGAAGTAACCTTATACGTTAGACTCAAATCACCTCGTCATTTGGGATATGAGTTTTAATAGATCCCAAAACAGCCGCTAAGAAAATTCTCAAGGATCTCCGCATAATTCCTTTACATGGACTTTAGAACTACGCATATGCTAAACCCTAAACCCCAGACCCCATAAACTACCGAGACCCTAAACTCAAGACCCTAAAGTTCAAAGCCCTGAACGCTAAGCCCTTAACCATCAGACCCATGCCATGAATTCTAGGTGCTAAGCCCTAAATCCTGCAGCCTATAAACCCAAGGCCCACACCCTTATACAATCTTATCATAATCCCCAGAACCTAAAACCCAAAACCCTACATAATCCCTAATCCCAA